GCTTGCTTGTGCTTTGCTTCTTTAATTGAAAAACTTGACTGTAGTCAACAGGTACCTATACAGAGAAGATCCATAGTAGAGGACTGTTCTTTAATCTACCACACAAAAACACATGAAAATAATGTCTGGAAGGCTGAATCTAGAAATATGCAGAGGAAAGGCTGGAAGTGATTTGCCAGATAGGGAGAATAAAGTGGTGAAAGTTTACAACTAGTAGAGTCTAGTACTTGAGATCTTTAAATCTAAAAAAGCATCTGTTGTGGAAAAAAAAATTTCTGCTTGATCAGGAGTTCCTGAACTCACTCCTGAAATCACTTTAAGCAGCTTTGCATTAGGCATGACATTAAGCTAGCCTACATGACCTAGAAAATAGAAAAGCTAGGACCTCTTAAAAACTTCAGTCTCCAAGCATTGTTTCCTCCTTTCTCTGAAACCAAAGGCAATCTAGGTTGAACATTAATCTAGGTTAAATGACTGAAAAGCATTCAGGCCATAGCAGATTTCTATCACCTGTCCAAACTTCACCCACCCAAGTGCCTAGCAGCAATAACTAGTCTTGAGAAGACAGACTCACCATTTATCTGCCAAAGACCGGTCTTCCGATTCCCCAAGCCACAGTTTCTCCTCTGACTGCTCTAGGTATTCTTCTGCCCACTTGGCAGGAGACACAGACAGTGGATCTGCATAGGACATCAGGAAGAATGGGGAGAAGTGTAAGATAGGCAGACCATCACTCAGATTAGCTTCAGATTTTGCTCTCTCCACTTTACACTAACAGTAGTTAGCGAACATACAGAGAACACCTCTTCAAAGAAAGACTGTTTACAGTTGTTTCTTCTAACTTTGTTTATTCTGATCTAAAAATCAAGCCTTAGGGTCAGACTGTGTATTAATACAGATGCCACTGTGGTGCCAATAACCTTACGATTTTCTACTTTAATTTCACAACTTATTCATCTGCTCCATGTGGGATACTAAGTAGGTCAAGAAAATCAGCAATGCATTACAAGTCTCTGTCAAAAGCACAGCCTACGAAGCACTAGGTTTACATCAGAACTTTCTCAAAGACCTTTGTAAATGCTGATTTATATTCCCAGAAGTACAAAGAGTGAATGTCAAACAATAGGACTACCTGGCTCCCTACAGTGACCACCCCTGGAGAAGAGAATAGCATCTATTTAAATCTTACTCCTAACTTCCAGATTAGGTCATGGATGGTAACAGGACCCTATTCCAGTCCCAGCTCTATACACAATGCAGGATGGCTTTTCAGATAAACTACTGCCTTGCTTGAAACAGAAAGCTTAACCTTTGGGCCAGAAACATTCACTTTGCACATTTCCAAGGTGCAACATCCCCCTACCTCCATGAAACTGACAAAAAGTATTTAGCCAAAGCACACTAAACAGTATTTACCTTTGTACCAAAGGCAAATTTAGCCATAAGAGAGGGAATTAGAGAGTATGTAAGTAAGAAGCAGTACCAGACCATCTCCGGAATTTGCATCAGTTGAATCATAATTTTTATAAAAGTAGTTTGAATAGCCTGCTTCTCCCAAGTTCTCCAAGTAACCTAAGCTAAAAACAAAAGACCCTTACACCTGAATAAAAGCTTCCACACCACACTGTTCACAATTTGGCTAAGCCATGGCAAAGCAGCTTTTCTCCACCCGCCGTTAAAGCTGCTACAGTAAACATTGACTGCTGGGTCCAAAGCATTACTCCAATTTCATGTTCAGTAACTCTCCGCTATACACAGGCATGTGACTGGGCAACATCTTGACAGTAATTCCAAAAGGGACCCTTCACCTGTCACTTCAGCAATGAACTCCTGTGACCAGTCAGCCTCATTGTAATCTGTAGAGACATCACCAGCACTATCTGCTGCAGCCAAGAATTCCTGGGTCCAGTTTTCAGACAGTGCCAGGGCTGCCACACCTGGAGCTACAAGAGGAAGAAAAACAGAAGTGAGGATTGGAGGACTCAAAGGCATCATTTAAGTGTTCCAGGCTAGCCCTCATCATCTCTGATCTTTCCCTTTCTCTTTGTTAGAATAAAATCACAGAAAAGATTCCACTTGGAAGGAATCTCCGGAGGTTGCTAGTGTTCTCACAGCAGGTTAACACTAAAGCTAGAGATCAGATTGCTCAGGGCATTCACCAGGTAACTTCTGAACTTGTCCAAAGCTGGCAATTCCCCAGCCTCCCTAGGCACCTGTTCCAGTACTGAACCGCCCTCCAAAGAAAGAAATGTTTCCTTACATCTAGGCAGTTCCCCTTTCTGCAAGTTGTGTCCATTGCCCCTTGTCCTTTAGCTGTGTATCACTGCGAAGATCTTGGCTGTGGCTGCTGAAGACAGCAACTAGACACTCCCCCCCCCCCCCCCCCTGCCCCTTAAGACTCCTCTTCCCCAGGCTGAACAAACCCAGTTCATAGAATCATAGAATCATTAAGGTTGGAAGAGACCTCCAAGATCATCGATTCCAACCGTCAACCCAACACCACCATGCCCACTAAACCATGTCCCTAAGCGCCTCATCTACACGTCTTTTAAATACTTCCAGGGATGGTGACTCAACCACTTCCCTGGGCAGCCTATTCCAATGTTTAACTACTCTTTCAGTAAAGAAATTTTTCCTCACGTCCAATCTAAACCTCCCCTGGCAAGGAGGTTGCCTCGCCTCAGCTGAGTTGCCTCAGCCTTTCCTCTTACACCATGTATTCCAGTCCCTGAACACCTTATTGATCTCCACTGGACTTGTTCCAGTATGTCAGTGTACTGGGAAGCCCAAACCTGGAAACAATACTCCAGATACAGTCTCACAAGTGCTGAATAGATGGGAACCACCCTGCTAGAAGCTTAACCATAACACCAAGATCTTTTCCAGCTCTCTACCTACTCTAGCTCCCCTCACCTCGCTGAGGGGCATGTCGGAAGCTTGACTGTTCAATCTCTTGCATCTCAGCCAACAGGTCATCCATCTTAAAGGTCTGGGGTGCACGGGACAGTAAAGGGGCATTCTGCTCTTGCAGGAACTCTCCAACCAGCTGCCAAAGACAGAGATGGATTACAAACAGAGCATAGAAGATGAACAGGTGGAACCGTGGAGCATGAGAGAAAGAAATGGGCTTGTCAGAAGGAAAGATTAATAGCAGGTAAGGGGAAAAATAGCAAACAGTGTTGATGAGAAAAGCGTTGAGGAGACGCATCAATCTGTTCTTACCTCATCTTCGGTGGCCACTCCCAGTGGCTTGGATACCTACAGGGAATAGTGTGCAGTTATCCCAACAGCTTTGACCCCATACTCCTCTCCACACACACCCTGTAAGCCTATCAGTTTACATCGTCCTCTTCCTTGAGCTTAGGCTGTCAGCGTTTTCTTGCGTTAGCTGCCTGCTTATGTGGAAGCCAAAGGAGCAGGAATACCTTGAGTGATACTGTCCAACCCCCCTCCCACCACTTTCCGGGGTAGGGCCTGTGACACTAAAGCATACAGCTCACCACAGCCACCAACATCCTCCGAGTGCCCATAAAAGCAGCTTCCACACACAGGCCCTCACCCCACAACCCTGCAGGACAAAGCGGGTGACCCCATGGTCTTTTTCCCCAGAAAAAAGCAACACTGCACCTATCTGCACCAACCGTCCCCCCATACTGCTCACCCCACGCCCCCCTTCAGCCAGCACACCCCTATCCCGTGCTGACTGATCCAGTCGCGGGCAGGCCCCACATCCAACCCCAGCTCAGCAAGCAGAGCAACCGGCAACACTCACGGCTGCAGCTCCGGGAGCCCCAGGGGGCCAGGCCAGCTGGCCCTGAAGTCCTTCCTGCCGCAAGGCTTTGTCCTGGGTGAAGTGGCCGGGCAGCTT